ATTCCTGTCACCTTCACAGTGAGGTTAAGGTGGAATGGCTGGCCCTAGATTTGACGTACAGTTCTAAGATCTAGAAGAATGGTGTGTTCTCATCCACCAATTTGGTTTCATTTCACTGACAACTTCAACTTTACTTCAATTGCTGTAAAGGACAAAGAGGAAGAAAACCAAAAACACAGGAGGGAAAATCTTAAAATTTTCATTCTAGGCATTCAATATGTGCACAGCTAAAATGTCTCAGTGAGGTGGGGAAGTGTACACACAGCAGGATTTTAATCTCTGGACTTCCCCACCTCAGCAAAGCTGCTGCTCAGGCAGATGGAACATGGTCACAGCCGTAAAAGTCAATCTGTCCATTCCCCATAAAGCACACGAACCATATTAGCATTGGTCCCCGTTCTCTGGGTTTCTTGGACTGTAGGAAACCTTTGCTCAAGAACAGCCACATCACTTCTGATGGTGTCTTGGACGTTGACTCCCAGGTGCTTGTCAGGTTCCTTATTACCGAACTGTTACTATTCAAACCTCTACGGGTTGGTATTTAACACTAATGATACAGCTCCATCTGATCTTGACTTCTGGCCAAATGATGCTTGCGGTGGTGTCCTTTCCAACAGAGTAAGGTTCATGTCATCGTCTACACCCTAACACATGGTACAAGAGCATGACTCATGCCTACACTGGTTAATAAGTACCTACCTCAAGACAGAAAAGTCAGGTACAAAGAGACATTGCTGAATTTTCTTTTTCTATACTTCATTCTTCATGGAGCTTTGTTGAAAGAGGCATATGAATTTCATCTAATTATTCCATGAGACGCATCTTCCTTTACTTCACGTATAGCAATAATGTTGGAAGAAATCTCAGACATCATACAGCTCAGTTTTCTGAGAATTCTGTGGAATTCAGGAATTGTATCCCTAACATACCTGTTCAGACAAGTTTTTAATGCTCGTGGGGATGATGTCGGTAGTCACGTGGTTGCCCAGGTAAGGAAAATGGTGGTTCATCTGACTGTTGACTGTCTCTGGACAAAGAAGGGTGTCCTTGTCAGGCAGTGAGCTTGTGAGATGAGCCGCCCAGTGCTTTGCTTCAGGAGAACCAGGAGCACCCTGAGAGCACCCACTGGGGACAGACCCTACCACTATATATTCAAGTTGAAAGTTGAAGATTGCACGACAATCTGTTGGGGAATATTATTTTAAGGTGTGTTGTTTTTGTTTATGCTGCACTTGTTTAACGCTGTGAAGCTGCAAATTCTTGTCTATTTGAAACACCTGATGGTCTAATAAAGAGCTGAACGACCCGATCCTGAGGCAGGATAGGTAGGGCTGGCAGGCAGTGGAGTGTAAATAGGAGAAAAAGAGGAAGAGGAGGAGCAAGAGAACAGGGGTTGAAGGACATCAGGGGTCAGCCAGCCGTGGAGTAAGAGTGAAAATAAGATATAGTCAAGATAATTTAAGCTAAGAAAAGCTGGCAAGAAACAAGCCAAACTAAGACCGGGCATTCCTAACCAAGAATAAGTCTTTTGTGTGATTTATTTGGGAGCTGGGTGGTGGGCCCCTTACCGCCCGCCTGTACTAAGTGGCAGTACGGCACTACTCCTGTATTGCAGCGCCTGCACTTCAGGACCATTCGCGAGCCAGGCAAGGGCCTGGAGACTGAAACACACAAATACACACAGACAGAGACACTGCTCATCCTTTAAACAGGAATGCCCCAAGAATGCCCCCTTAATTGTGTTCAGGGGCCACTTATATAGGGATAGCCACGCCCCACCCAAACCCAGGAACTCCTGAGGGTCTCGTGCTGACAGCAGCTGCAAGCATAACACGTTGTTTACAAGAAATTCAGGGTCTGGGGGTTCACAGCTCCCAACAGGCCCCTCCAAAAGCCAAAAGAGTAAAACATCACATAACAACAATCCAAGCAGGTTTAGACCAACTGGAGTATAACCTAAATTAATGAAAAACAATAAGATATGAGAAACACAAAGATATGAGCAGATAATAATGGTGGTAGTAGTTACTGAGTATTAAAATAGGAAAAATCAGTGTCTCCTAGAAGGTGTAGTATTAACTAATCATTTATTTTTCACAACAATGCCATCAACAGTGACCTCATTTTACAGCTGCACATACAGACACGTGTACACACGGGGGAGGGGAGACTATTCCAAGGCCACGTAGTCAAACAGTGAGGGAGCAAGGATTGGAACCCTCGCCTTCTGAAGCCTGACATCCCCCCTACCACACTGGATCGCTCACCCGCTAACCCGAGAAAGCCTGGCACATACCAAGTCTTGTTCAACCTCTTATCATAGTCATCCCACAGAGGATTCTGCCACCCTATTACAGAGCAGCTGTGTAAAGTGCCCCGGTCACACACCCAGTGAAAACTAAAGGTGGGGTTTACATTTACATAGCCAGCTGTGGTGACCTATACCTTTAATCCCAGCACTCGGGAGGCAGAGGCAGGAGGATCTCTGTGAGTTCAAGGCCAGCTTGATCTATGTAGTGGGTTTTAGGACAGTCAGTACTATTTAGAGAGACCCTGCCTCAAAAGTGTATGTATAGATAGCCCTAACCATACACATGTGTGTATTCTGTGTGTATGTTTTGTGTGTGCGCTGTGTGTGTATTGTGTGTGTACCTATGTAGCCTGTCTTTAGTTATGACATGCTTTCCCATTTCTACAGACTCCCCTAGGTAGTAGGGTCCATGTACGGTTATAGTGTTAGAAACACAACTTTTTTATGTGCAGGGAAGGCCGTGGGAAAGAACAAGAGTGACAAACATCTGTGGAGGAAAATTATTCTTATTGCCTATGCCAGAAACCTAGGCAGTTGTCAACCAGTTCTCGTCAGCAATGGAGAAGACAAATAACCTTGAAGCTCAGCATCCCTGGACTCCCTTCCTGAACACTTTTGTTTTGGGCTGGGATGAAACTCAACTGGTAGAGTGACTGCTATGCACAAAGCCCCGGGGTAGCTCCTCAGCACTGCATAAAACTGACCACGGTGGCACACGGCTGCAATCTCAGTCCTTGGGAGGCCGAGGCAGCGAATTCAAGGCCTGCCTAGGCTACGTGAGACTCCGTATAAAAAACCAAAAAATTCAAGTAGAATTTTTTTTTTTTTTTTTTTTGGTTTTTCGAGGCAGGGTTTCTCTGTGGCTTTGGAGCCTGTCCTGGAACTAGCTCTGTAGACCAGGCTGGTCTCGAACTCACAGAGATCTGCCTGCCTCTGCCTCCCGAGTGCTGGGATTAAAGGCGTGCGCCACCACCGCCCGGCATCAAGTAGAATTTTCACATGTGGTCCCTGCTGTGCTGTCTAGGCTGCCATGCTAGCTTTAAGTCTGTGGGGTTGAGTGATTCTTCTGCCTTAGCCTCCAGGTAACTGGGACAACAGGCCTGTGCCACTGTGCCCAACTCAAACAGGTTTCTTCTGAGCCTTCACAGAACATTCCATGGTACCTGCGAACATTAGCAAGACACTGATGAATACTTAATATAAATTATGTTGAGTATTAAAAGCACAATCAACTCGTGTTTTGTTTTGTTTTGAGACAGGGTTTCTCTGTGTAATAGTCCTGGCTGTCCAGGAACTTGCTTTGTAGACCAGGCTAACCTCGAACTAAGAGACCTGCCTGCCTTCTGTCTCCCGAGTGCTGGGATTAAAGGTGTGCGCCACCACCCAGCTAACTCACGTTTTTATATATTCACAAAATATTTTTTATGTAAAGAAGAATTAATTAGATCCTACATTTGTTTATATTTTTTCAGTCAATAGACCATTACTCTGTAATGTAAAATGTCCAAATCAACATTTACAAAATCATATTGTGAAAAATTTATAAGTTTTCTCTCTCTCTTTTTTTAATCATAGACTCTGTGTGTGCTTGTCTGTGTGTGTGTGTGTTTGTATGTGCATGCACCCGCGTGGGCTGCTCCTGTGTGGAGGTCAGAGGACTATAACTCAAGGAGCCTGTTCTCTCCCTCATCGTGTGGGTGCTGAGGAATCAACTCAGGTTGGTAGACTTGGCAAAAGGAGACTTTACCCACTGAGCAGTCTCTCTTTATACACGCTTTTTCTTAAAATGAATTCATTTACAAAGTGCTTTGTGGAGCTATTCCCTAGAGCATGGGCAATTCCCAGCAGCTGCATCACCATCTACAAAGACTCACTATTAACTCCCCTCCTATCTCCCAAAGACCGAAGGTGAAAGCTCAGTCTGGCTCAGGCCTTGTGCAGGCACCTGCAGCCATTGGGAGTTTATTAGTGCCACAGCCATGCCTTGCCCATTAGACAGAGTTCATCCATGCATGGAGGCGCCCAACTTTAATCCCAACACTCAGGAAGCAGAGACAGGTGGACCTCTATGAATTGCGGGTCGACCTGTCTCCACAGAGTCCCGAGCCAGCCAGGGCAACAAAGTGAGACCCGGTCTAAAAAAAAATAGCGGAAAGGAAAGGGAGGGGGAGTCTGTCAAAGTCTGGCACCCCGTGTTTCCACACACAGCTTCCCAAAGGGATGTAGGCTGACTTTGTCGGTGGTCCAGAAAGCCCCTGAGACTTCTGGAGCCCTGTCCTCATCCGGTCCTGGTCACAGGGTGGGAACAAGAGGCAGGCAGGGGCTGCGCCTTGTCCCATCGCCTTCGGTCCTCTGGGTGGATGGAGGCGGGTGGTTTCTGGCCGCACGAGCCTGCTCCTGACCTCTTCCCTGGCTGGACTGAAGCGCTCCCCGAGCTCCCCTTCCAAGGTAACCCGAGGTTACCCCGGAGCGAGCGCTGGAAGAGGCCTACAGCAGCGAGCATCCAAGAGGGCAGAAAGCCTCCCTTCACCGCCTCACCCGTTTGATCCCGCCTCTCTTCCCGGCAACTCCCTGATTGGCTTCCCAGCCTGCGAGTGCGCCCAATGATTGGCCGGAGCGCCGTCACCCTGTGATACGCGGCGCCCCGGGGGCGGAGCCTGCCGGCGAGAGCCCGACTGCCCTGTGCGGCGCGCGCAGCTCCACTTTGTCAGCGGGCGGCGCGGTCGAGCGCTTGGCCCTGGGCTTGGAGCGTGGAGCAGGCGGGGAGAGTAAAGGAGCGGCGGTGCGGGGAGCTGGGAGGCATGGCGCGGCCCGACGACGACGACGAGGGGCCGGCCGTGGCGCCCGGGCACCCGCTGGCGAAGGGATACCTTCCGGTGCTGAGAGGCGCCCCGGACGGGGAGGCGCACGCGGAGCTGCAGGAAGGGCCTGAGGCGGAGATCGGAGGCCCGGAACACGGCCCCGTGATCGCGGGAGCCCCGGACGGACCCCAAGCCCTGCTGGCAGCGGAGGAGGAGACCCAGGCCCGGCTGCTGCCCGCAGGCGGTGTAGAGGACGACCCGGTCTCCACACGCTCCCCGCGCACGGCGCTGTCGCCGCGGCGCTTCGTGGTGCTGCTCATCTTCAGCTCCTACTCGCTGGTGAACGCCTTCCATTGGATCCAGTACAGCATCATCAGCAACGTGTTCGAGGGCTTCTACGGCGTGTCGGCGCTGCACATCAACTGGCTGTCCATGGTGTACATGCTGGCCTACGTGCCCCTCATCTTCCCGGCCACCTGGCTGCTGGACACGCGAGGCCTGCGGCTCACGGCGCTGCTGGGCTCCGGCCTCAACTGCCTGGGCGCCTGGGTCAAGTGCGGCAGCGTGCAGCGGCACCTCTTCTGGGTCACCATGCTGGGACAGAGCCTGTGCTCCGTGGCGCAGGTCTTCATCCTGGGCTTGCCCTCCCGCATCGCCTCCGTGTGGTTTGGACCCAAGGAGGTGTCGACGGCTTGTGCCACCGCGGTGCTGGGCAATCAGGTAAAGACTGGAACGACTTGCTACTGGGATCCTCTTAAGGACGGTAGGAAGCCGTAGGCGGGGCTGGGGCGACGGTCGGTGGGTAAAGAGCACACGGTAAAAGCGTGAAGACTGAGCGCCAGCACCACGAGAAAAGCCGGGCTTGGTGGCCCCAGGTTGTATTCCCAGCCAGCACTGACAGGTGAGGAGGACAGCTCCTGTGAAAGAACATCCGAGATTGCACTCTTGTTTGCACACAGGCACGCACGGAAGCTTTGGCAGTGAAGGAGATCTCCTAGGTGATTTTGTCATCATTGCAGAAGGATGGTGTTGAATTCTGTGAAGTTTGTTTCCATACTGAATGCCCTTGGAACAGCCCCGATTTAATTGTACTTGTAGTGAAGCCAGCTCGGTAGGTGCTGAGCAGGTCTAAGTGAAAGCTCAGTAAATGGTCATAAAGACTTGGCAATATTACTGAGTTCAGTTGTTAGCTCTTAGCAGCCAGGCAGTGGAAGGCACATCGCTGATCATGGAATGGTTAGTGGTTAGTTAGCCAAGGCTCGCTTAAGAAATGACCTTGTTTTCCCCTCCTTCATAAATTCAAATGCCACTGGAATTCCAGAAGCAACACTAGGCAAAAGGCTTGTTTGGGGGCGTGTGTGCGCTTTGTTATTTATTTATTTATTTATTTATTTATTTATTTATTTATTTATTTATTTNATTTATTTATTTATTTATTTATTTATTTATTTATTTATTTATTTTGAAACAGGGTTTCCTTCACTCCTGCAGGCTGGCCTGGAATTCTCTGTGTACCCCTGGCAGACTCCTAGCTCTGGGGAATCCTGCCAGCCTCCCAAACACCGGACTGAGCCAACCCGCTGTTCCGTTTGCATTTGTTAATTTCAGCCTAGTTCTCTTATTGTGGTTTAAATTCTTAATAGAGGGCACTTGTAACACCAGATGTTTTTGTCACTACTGTAAATGTCACCGTTGTAAAGGATGTTTAGTATTCATTCAGTTGAAGGAAATCTAGTTGCCCCTCCCTTGTTATACATATATTGCTACATGCAGTTGTGTAACCAGAAAATGTTACTTTCCTACTTCAAATCCCACTTGAATCAAGATAGTGGTTTAAAAGACCCCAAAAGACTAAACGTGTGTGTTTAATTTGTTAGATTTACTTACTTTCTCTAAAAATGCAGAAGAGTCACCTAAACTATAATGGCCATGTAGTCAAAATAATTTATATTGATTCTTTGACTGGTTGTTTCTTTATATTTGGATAGCAGATGTTTTCTCAAGATATTTTTGTTTCTAAATTCTATTCAAGATTAATGCTTCATTGACTATAACAAAAATATTATCAACTCCCTATCTATGAAGCATCAATTTTATGGGTAATAAATGGAAACATTTACTTATGGGTGGACTTCCCTCTGTCGGCACATTCTGGGTCTTCCTGTATTCTCCTAAGGTGTTCTGTTCCTTCCTTGGCTCCTGTAAACTGGACAGTTGCTCATCATGACCCAGTGTGCATTTTCAGCCTCATTTATGGAATGATCATGCATAATAATATTCAGTGGTATCATGCAGTTACTGAGTGGCATTGAAGTGATTTATGGTCATTCAGCTTCCTATTATAAGGTTAGGACCTATTAGTTTCCACACATGATAGACAGGGAAATTGAAATTTTAAGGAATGGAATCATTTTCCAAAGGTAATAATACAACTTGTTCACACAGAAGTGTGTCTGGCTCCTGAATGGTAGCTTTTATCTTTTCAGGTCTCTAGAGGGAACCTTTGAAAATACAAGTGCTTTAAGTTCGCCATTGGTTTCCCAGAGTCCTTAAATGTGAAGTCTTCGCTGTGAATTACAAAACCTCTTTACTTTGTATTTGGTTTCTTAAGCAGTGCCAAGCTTGCACTTGCACAAGGACCTTTGCAGAAACCTTCCTTCCGATGCTTAGCATATTCTTCCTGTTCAGACTTCATGGTTGCATACGCAGAGCCGCTCAACTCTCTGCGAGTTCAGTTTGTCTTTCTTTCTTTCTTCTTTCTTGGTTTTTCAAGGCAGGGTTTCTCTGCAGCTTTGGAGCCTGTCCTGCAACTAGCTCTAGTAGACCAGGCTGGCCTTGAACTCACAGAGATCCACCTGCCTCTGCCTCTGCCTCCCAAGTGCTGGGGTTAAAGGCGTGTGCCACTACTGTCTGGTGTGAATACTTATTTTCTGTTTCTATAATCACACTCATCCAAGTGGATGTAAGATGGAGTATCATTGTTATTTTGATTTGTATTTACATTAACAACATGATATTGACTTTTTTTTTCTATATTCTTCTTAGCTGCTTGTGTATCTTCTTTGGAAGAACATCTTTTCAAGTATTTGGCCCACTTAACATTGGGATTCTTATCTTTTTGTTGTTGGTTTGTTAAAAAAAAAAACTTTTTATTCTGCATGCTAGTTCCTTATCAGATAAGATTTGGAAATATTTCCCCATGTTTTAGGAGTTTTTTTAATCCCTCATCAGATATAAGGGAGAAGTTTGGCAGCAGTTTTTCTTCATCAGTACAGTAGAACAGAGACATTAGAACAGACTTTTTAGGATTTACAGTGCGTCTTTGTACGTACTACCGTTCTTCATCATATTCTGTTAAATGCCAACATTTGCTCTGTTTGCTATTGATAGTCGTTAACAGGACTGTTTATTTTACAGCTTGGAGCTGCAGTTGGCTTTTTGTTGCCACCTGTTTTAGTGCCCAACGTGCAGAATAACACAGACCTTCTGGCTTATAACATCAACACCATGTTTTACGGAACAGCATTTATCTCCACACTTTTATTTTTTTTAACAGTAATTGGTAAGTGAACTATTTGTCCTGAGACTTAGATAAATGCATGACAAATAGACGGGAATGACTAACCCAGGGGGTTCTGCAGATGGGGTCTCCAGTACTCTTTGTACTTGCCGTGCAATGTCGTGCCCAGGTACTGAGTGGGCAGCTCTAAGGCCATGTTGTGGTCCACGCCATTTTGTTTATTTGTCTTTGTAACGTTCTAAAGGGTTTGAAGACTAATCAGTCCCATTTATCTTTCTACTAACCCAGCTTGGTAAGTGTTCATTTCAAACATGCTGCCTGGCTTCCCTTTCCATGTCCATCCGTGTGGTGTGCATCCTGTACTTACCTAGCCTGCAGCTAGTGCCCGTCATGCTTAAAATGACGCTCACAGGCCACACCTTCCCTTTCCTAGGAAACCCCAGGGATCCCCAGTTTAACATAACTGGGTTTAGAATGTTGACCTGTGAATGACCCTGGGCAGCATCGAGCTGTTCAGAATTTCAAACTGTGGCAACTGTCTGCTTGCTAGGCCACCTCAGCAAAGCCCGGCTGCCACCCTTCGTCCCCGAGTCCTCTCGTCTGGGCCTGTCTTTTGAAGGAGTCAGTCAGAGTCAGCTGCAAGCAGCCATCACCAGCTTGGAAGAAGCTTTGGGAAGGTCTGCTTTTTTTTTTTTTTTTTTTAAGTTTATTTTTAAGGGGAGGCAGTTTTGATTTTAGGGGAGAAGCTAGGCGTGTCTAAGATACATTGCTGCCGTGACTGGGGCAGTGCCTGTGAGACTCTTAGTCTCTCCTAGATGGGTTTTATCAGAAAAGGAGCTATGAAGTTCTCAGACCAGCTCTTAATTAACGTTTATAGTTAAAGCCTGTTTAGTTGGAGGTTTTAGACTTACATATTGAACTTTTTACCTTGCTATGATATTAATGAAAACTTCATATTTTGTGATCTCCAAATATAAAGTTGAGTTTTCAGAGAAATACCTGCTGACTACCTGGGTAGATGAGCGGCAGGGTCAGGTATAGGCAGCTCAGCCCACACTGCAGTTTCCCTTGAGATAATGAACGGAATGTTCTCTTCATGGCATCTGAAGTATGCCAGGACGTGCGGTTGGCGGCTCGTTTTTTATCTTTGCCGGTAGTCAGGGAGTGTGACATATTTGTGCTGTACACACTGCTGAGAAGGGCAAGCTTTCCTTGTACTCTTTTAGTATTTTAACAAAATAAACACTGTGAGGGAACCTCGAATCTGCCTTTCCGGTTGGTGCATTTGGCTTGCTTGACAAAGTAGGAAATGTCGCTGCTGTGCACTTTAGAGCAGTGGATCTTGCCCTTCAGTAGGGTTAAGTATAAAATGTTTTCCAGTCACTTATGTGTAATCACATACATCTCAGGCTCTCATCTTGTTGAGTCTTCAGTTGAGCTTCTAACAAGAAATGAATAATTAATTATAAAAGATGAAAAGAAAGGACTGGAGAGATGGATCAGCAGCTAAGAGCACTTTCTGCTCTTGAAGAGGACCCAAGTTGTGTTCCCAGCACCCATGTCATTGGGTGACCCATAACCTGTGATTCCAGCTACAGGGGACCTCTGTGTACTGCATTCACATGAATAAAACCCCAAAACCAACACACACTTGTACAGGGAATTAAAAGCTGAGATATTTTTAATGAATTAATTATTGGAAAGATAGCTCAGTGGTTAAGAGCACTTGTGTACTTGGCTGCAGAGGACCTGCTTCCGTTCCCAGCATGCACATGTAGCTAGCGCACAACCAGAGTTCCAGAGATGCCCTCTCCGTGGACACCAGACACTAATGCTACACATGAAGACATGCAGGCAAGTCATGCATACATATGAAATAAATCTAAAATAAAAATGAAACCTTAAAAATAATATCTATAGTTGAAGTTTTTCATGACATGTGTATATATATAAACTATTAGAGCAGGAGTAAGAACAGTAGGGTAGGTAGGACTGGGTTATTGTCTTTAGTAGTTTGAGGAATCAAGGAGTGAGGTATTTACATACCTAACTAGTTACTGATGTACTTGTAGCTTGTGGGTTGAGAGTGGAAACAGAAGTGGAGGTCTGGAAACAGTGGAATAAAAAAGGGCTTGTTTTCAAGTTTGTTTTAGTGTCCTACTTTTTTATAAAATATTTATTAATTTTGTATACAGCACTCTGTATGTGTGTATCACTATAGGCCAGAAGAAGGCACCAGATCTTGTTACAGGTGGTTGTGAGCCACCATGTAGTCACTGGGAATTGAACTCAGGACCTCTGGAAGGACAGTCTGTGCTCTTAACCTCTGAGCCATCTCTCCAGCCCTAGTGCCCTACATTTTTATTTAATCTTATGACTCTAGACATACTATAAAAGCAAAGTAAGAATTAGTCAAGGGGGCATATACTATAAGCCCAGTACTTGGGAGGTAGGTACCAGAGGATCGGGAATCCAAGGTTATCCTTGGCTATGCGAAGCCCTGTCTCAAAAAACCAAACCATTATTGTGTGAAGATTGTGACATTAACTAGAAAGGCAACTTGTGTTGTACTCAGATATATTTGCTAAGGTAGGAAAATGAATTTGGAAATTCTTACTTGAAGTGCCTTATTCG